GTGGTTTAAAAAAATTAAATAAAAGAACCCTAACCATCAATCGCTCACTGAAAAGGTCAGTTTCTCTTCTGCCCTCAAATTTAAAAGGCATCTTTACTGGCAATTTAAAGTAAGACACTGACTTTCACACAGGCATGTCTGAGGCATTAGTTCATCCTCCTGCCTGTCGACTCCTTAAAGCAGCAGATGCCTCGAGGAGGGAACATCTTTAAGCCACACACACAGTTTGCTAGAGCTCATTTGTCAGTGCCCTGAGGCAAGCCTTTCATCTTTTAGCCACATAATGATAGCAGAACTGTATTATAGATTACTGTATTTACATGCATGAGCAATCCAGTTAAAATATGTATTTTTGCTAGCCAATGCAAGCAGCAAATTCTCATTTGCTCGCTCCCAGCCAGCAAAGCCATTCAGTAGGTGTCCAGAAAAAGCAAGCCCACTCCAAGAAACCAGGCTTTGAAGTCTTGCTGTAAACACATGCCTACAGTCAGGAAGATTCTGCTCAATAGAAGCCAAACACCGCAGATTAGTCCTTTCATGAACAGATACCACTTCTTCTACACAAAAAGTGAACCCAACATGCAAATACAGCTTCAAAGATGTAAAGGTGCAAATACAATCTCTCCCAGACCTCTCAGTATGTCTGACGTTTTAAGTTTCAGCAAAAGAATTGCCACAGAAAAAGGGGACAGAAGCATGTAAGCACAAAATCAAAACTTGCTACAAAACCAAAACAAAATATCCCCACAGCTGGTCTTGATTTAAATAGAAAACACTCTAATATTGACAACACTGTTTAAGAGAAACCCTACACTTTTAGTTTTATAATACCAACATTCACACCACCTAGGGAGCGTCTGTATGTGGAGCACTAATGGTTGAGCACACTGGTCGTTGCTAGAAGACTGAGCATTTCCACATAAGAGCACTCAGAGATGGCACTCACAACTTCAGATGTTTTTAGAATGGCAGAAATTAACTGTGTTCCCATGACAGGACTCAGAGAACACACATCTATAACTCACTTTGGCACAATACAAGAAAATAAGCACATACTTTCACCAGAAACAAAGACTATGTTCAACAAGAGGGCCTGTACCTGCATGAAAGCAGTTAACTCTGCTGTCATGCTGTAACCATGTTTTTATTTGCTCGGTTCCCACAGACTTCAGTTTTATGTGGCCCAGTTTAAGCCCACATTCTCCTAAAAGGCATGTTTTTATGTCAGCCCTAGCAACAAGGACAATTCAACTCTTGCTGGTGTTTAAATGCCAGTCCTTGAACTCTCAAAGCTTTTATAAAAGATAAAATCTTTATAAACAAACAGTTGTGTTATCTTGAGCCATGCAGCATCTGCCTTTAAAGTGGTATCACCTTTTCAGACAAGATACCCCATGCCTTCAAAAGCAAATCACTATTAACTTAAGCAAAAAACTAGAAGTGGTTCTTCATAGACTAGTTTCCTTTAAAAGAAAAAAAAAAGTTAAGATCCTTTAAGAAAGTTATCTAACAAGAAGCTCCTTAGATATGCTTAACCAGAACAGATTTGTTTCAATCAGATGTAAAACTTTCCACAGCACACAGCACTGTACAAATAACATTGTTTTCAGCTAAGCTCTTACTCCCTAAGGTCACCTGCTAATGCTCACAGACTCCTGAGGAAAATTGGACTTGTGCCCAATCTGCAGCCTAGATGAGACTAAGTTACCCAGAAAAAAATCCCACCTATTTGCTATATATTCATTTTTCCACTTTAGATCTCAAACATAATTTAAAGTGTGGTTACAGTATCATTTCTGTGCTATAGTTTTATCTTCCCATAAGCCAGAAGCCAAAAAAGAGCAGGTGCACTGAGGGGCAACAGTGTGTGACCATCATTAATGAATGAATGGAGAGGATTTGTTCTGCCTAGAGCAATAGGGCTAACACACCTTACACATAACTTAAGAATTTAAGACCAACCTATAGTAATAAGTGATCATCTAAGTCTTGCTGACCACATCTGGCAGAGACCAGGGTTTCTTCACATCTATTATAAGAAAATGATGACTATTACCCACTTTCACACTGCAGGAAGGAACTTACTGAAATGGAACCTAATTATTTTGACAAGTTAAAATACTTTTAAAAGCACATGAATGGCTTCAGGTCCATTTCCCATTTTGACAGACGGAGGCACCAATGCATTCAATTTTCCAGAATAAATCTGTCACTCTTAAAAGTGCTAGGTCAGGACTTCTGTGAAACAAAGGCCTCTTTCATAAGGATCTCTAAAGACCTGTGACCAAAATTCTCACTTTTACTGATAATTTAAGGATCTATCTGTAATCCCGAAGACACTTGCAGAATGGACTACATACTGAGCAGCTCAGGATTAAAACCCCTAAAGGAAACAGAGCGATGTAGTTGCACATAAGAGAGCTCAGACACAAAACCAGCTGAAATGCTGTGCACAAAGGAAGAACTGAGATCAAGACACTTGGAGAATCCAGGAAGTGAGAACACGAGAAAAACAGAATAAATTCCTTGGGTAAACTAAGACAATTTCTTTGTGCAGTGACAAGACCCATATTCTTTATCAAACCATTCTCACACACCAAAACCATTACTTAACATAACTAACATGCAGCAAAATTAGCTATAGCAAGGAAAAACTTTTTTTTTTTTAAATGATGCCACTTCTGCAAATGTTACCTGTCTGTAACTGCACAGGTTGCCTATCTGCTTCTGAGCTGCCTGTCTGCAGTCTGCAATTGGCACAGTATCCTAGCTGGTGATCAGAATCATTTGCTGACATGCTGGGCTGCCAAATACACATGCAATACAATCACCGCTTTGGTGCAGCAGCCATATTAAGCTGATTTTTTCAGCATGTAGCAGTGGACACACTCAAGCAGTTGGCATTGTAATGGACTAACTCATTGAAGGTTTATTAGGAGGGGGTTCAGTGTATATGCACACCCACATACGCTCTCAACAATACTATAAGCAAGAAAAAGCAGAGCTTTGAGTTCATAGCTTCTCTACCACCCCATGTACACAGTATTAAAGTCGCTGAAAACCCGAGGACAAAGTCAAGAAGCTCCTGTCTCTTTTTCTAAAGAAGTTTCCAAAAGCCTTTTTTCTCTTTAAGCAGTGGCTTTATCAGTATTCTTGTGCATTATGACTGCACAGAACCACCATAGGTTTTCTGTGAGTATATGGAGAACAACCTTAACAACACATACTCTTACAAAAGTAGCATTATTTTCTCATGGTTTTACAGAAACATTTCTGAATTTAGAAAACTAGAACTCTATTTCTCTCAAGTCCTTGACAACTGGTACTCTAATATATAGTGCTGTAATTGCTGCCCTCCACTAGACAACAGCGTTCCCTTCTAAAACCTGCTCAAGCATATAGCTGAAGCCTCTCAGCCACTTGCTACACCCAGTCTGTCTACAGTCTTCTATCTTCCATGCACAAGCAAATACCACTCAAGCCTTTTTGCACCTCAGCTCACATAAGACAGATGTGTCATGGCAAAACACCAAACCACTTTATAACAGATGTCCAAAAATTACACTAAGATAGCTGCAGCCTTTACACCTGCCAACTTAACAGCTTCAATCTTCACTTGTATAACTTGTGTAGCAACCATTCATACTGCACAACAGAGCTTTAGACAAAAACTGTTTAAATACTTAACATGGTATACTACAAATATTAAAAAAATTTGGAGCATCAAGGAAAATTTTCAGCATTAGAGTATCTTATTAAACTACGAATAAAGTTAAGCCTTCTCTCTGGATTTATTTGTATTTCAAAAGCCAACCCCAAAAACCAAGTTACATATGTACCAGTCACTCCTGTAGACCAGAATTTGAGCAGCCACTGGGAGTTTAGCACTGCAGTACTTTCCATCAATAAGCAACATCTTATGTTCAGCTGAAAGGGTACTCTAATGCAATATTCAAGCCTGTGTTTTTTTCCCTTGGCAAATGTGGTAACTTCACTGCTTCCGAATAGCAATTATTTTTATGTAAGTGACAGTAGGTAGCTATTTAGGTAGTAAATGCCACTACAGACATTCCTTGTATGACTCTGCTTTATTCTCGTGGCTTAGTTTAACTCAAAACATTAGTCCTGGAAAAGCCTAGTTATACCAATAGCATAATTACATTTATAAAAAATCCATCTGGTTTTAAGTATGCAAGATCTAGCCAAAGCAAGGATCAATTTCAGCTACTGGGTTTTCAAGCAAAAGCCTTTGCAAAAGACAATTAAGGCTTCCATCACCCTACCAGAGGTAACAGTGAGAAACGAGTCTAAGCCACAGGAGCATTGGTCTACTTCTGACAGTGGTATTTAAGTATTTATTAAGCTGGTTTTCATCTATTTATTCAGTTGGCTGACATCCATCTGCCACATGTAATGCTTGAAAATGCACAGTTAGCAAGCTGCTAAAATAAGGAATCTGCATAGTGTTTGGTTGCATTTTTCTATTAACATAATAGGCAACAGCTTCTGGAATTTGTCTTGCTGATATACTTCAACTCTGCCTGAAACAAGGATGGGAAAAGGTCCCCCCTGCTAGTATAAAATAGTTCAAGTACTGGAAAAAAGCTATATACATTTTTTTTAAATAGCACTATTTGTATAAGCAGAAAAGAAACTCTCAGTTCCTCATCGATCTCTATCAATATTCAAGCAAAGTTTTACTTTAAGTTTTAAAATACAGATGTTTAATTAGCCAATATAACAGTTCTACAACCTGTATCACAGATAATGTTGCACAGCTGACAACCAAATCAATACTAAAACCTATAATCTTGCTAGTGACAGTGCTAACGCAAATCGGCAATTTTAACACTTGAGTTCAGAAAACATCCATCCTTTTAAACCCCGCTGATGTGTATAATTTATGAAAATATTTATTAAATCCAGTCATCATGCTACAGTATTAGTCAGGTTGTTAAACCTTCTCACTCCAAGAATATACCAGCATAAGGCATAAACACAATGACATCTATATGAAATTTTATAGTAACTTTCCAGAAATATGCTTGTGATCCATCAAATTCAACTAAAGTACTGTAGATTTAAAATATTTACTTGCCATCTTAGCATACCTAATGTCTAAGAATAGTTTCTTGTTCAATTCCCAAAAATAAATATAAGCTTTCCATTGAAAGCATTTCTTTTCCTAGTTTTCCAAAGTGGAGTCTGGGGGAGAAAAATGCTTCAGACTTGTCATCGGTCTGCTCAGTAGGTAAAAGCATCTCCTGTCCCAGTATTTGTTCAAATCCGAGATATTTTCTTCCAGTGAAATATGACTGGAGTACTCATTTTATTTTCAGCAATTCAGTCTGTTTCCATGGCAGCACTGCGGGACTCCTTCGCCACCATGAGTCGCATTAGCTGACTGTGGAATTTCTCGATCTTCTTTACGTCTTGCGCCTGGTCTGTTCTATACAGCAAACACTGCAAGAGAAAGTTGCTTAGTATCAGATATCGCTCAGACTGGTTTTATCCTGTTTATACTTGCAATAAATTTGTGCTTGGAACACATAAACCAAGCTTAAGTACTTAAATGTTAATTTCTGGCATACTGTTACCATGAGGCAGCACCAACACATGTCTACCCTGTTTTAAAATACACATGCATCAGTTCTTACATTTAAGTCTCTCTGAAAGGCTCATGCCTTCCATTTTGAAAACAGTGAAACTCACAATTTATCCTAGTACCTTCTCTCTCAAGAAAGGTGCTAAAACTTGGGTTTTAAAGGTGTCTTTAGTTTTGTTGTCTAAAAATAAAAAGCGGATTTTAAAACTGAAATTACTTTCCTATTATCTACATTATGAAAGCAAGCTTATTTTGCCTTTCACAGCCCTTGATGTTACACTGCCAGTGACATAAAATCAGTTCAGGGTTTCCTACCAAAGAGGATCCCCCCCCCCGCAAGCAAAATCTGTTTCTAAGACAGTCCTAAATAAGGAACATAACATCTGATTAAGATCAAAAGGAACTCCTTCATGTGACAAGCCTGTAAATGCAAAATGAACAAGAGTAATATGCCACTGATTTATCACAGACAGGCTGCTTAACTTTTTTGCAGACTAAGTAATTCCTTACACCTGTACAGCACGAGTATGACTGCCCAGGCTGACCTAACAACGGAAAAAACTCAGAATGCTCTGTTCTTCAGTGCTATCAATGCAGCAACTTTTGCCACCATTAAATTCCTATTTTCATTCAGAGACAAACAATAACAAAACAGCTGATTTTTCCCTTGAGCTATATTAGCTCTGCAGAGGTAGCAGCAAGGAATACTTTCCACCTTTAGGAAAACAAACAAAACACACACACAACCCCCAAACAAACAAACAAGGAAAAAAACCCACAAAAAACCTCCACAAAACCAAAGCAACCCCTGTACCAGTGTAACAGCTTTCCGTGACTGGAAGCAGGTAAGACAGCCTATAAGGTTCAAGGTTGTGAATCACCTGAATCTAACCTTTCCCTATGGAAAATTTAAAATTAATTGCCCTTCACTTCCCCCTGTTATCAGTGCCCCATACTTAACACCTCCCTCACACTAAGCACCATTATCCTATCAAGAAGCGTCACTACCTGGAGTTTTGCATCTCTCCCAAGTTTTGGGAAAACCAATGCCAGGCTACTTTTCCTGGAAAGAAGAAACTTGTTATTTCCAAATCTGAAGACAAGACCAGGGCAGACTACTGTTGCTTACTCTGGACTGCCAAAAAACCAACTGGGCTATAGCATCACTAGCACCAAGAACCTGTCACTGGTGTGCATGCCAGCACGCACATGCTGGCAGGTTTCTACCTGCTGCCCACCATCTCACATCCTAACCCCTCCTGTGCTTCCAAGCGCCCTCCCAGTCTATTTAGAACAAGGGCAACCAGGAAGCGCCTCCTTGTACACCTCCTTGTACAGCAATCCTTGAAAGGACACCACAGAACTCCATGTTGTGTGCATGCACAATTTTTACTGAAGGCATAACTGACACTGTAACAGCACTTCAGAAAATGGGATCACTGAACTGCAAGTGAATCTTGTCATTACGTCTTACCACCACTCCATCATCTCATAATCACAAAGAAGGAGCTTAGCCTACACTTGAAAGCTGTCACCACCCTGAGCAAGTAAAAAGGACCACACTCATGCTGGCAAACACATCTGTGTGATGAAGCTCCTGAAATACTTCAGCAGAAGCTACCAAGGTAGTTCCAAGAAGCATTTTCAGGTAGAGAAATGGTCCAAGACTTTTGTAGTGCTCATCTTCCTTGTTTTCGTGCAACTCTAAAATAATTAAGCTGACAACCATAAAAAACACTAAAGTGTTAGAACTTTTCACGGACTGTGTAGAGTTGAACCACAGGTCTGTCACAGCAACTAGGGAAGGCTGAGCACAGCAAGTTTTTAGGCAACTGGCTAAGAGCTCACCGACTGACAGCAAAATGCAAGTTCCTGAGGGGCACAATAAATTCTGAAAGGGGAAAATGTTCCATACTTACAGCTACATCGTCTGTTACTTTAATACAGAGGTTCCCATCACAGTGTCGGTATTTGAGAACAACCCGCACCTGAAATGACAAACATTTTAAGAATTAATGTCGATAGCTAACAATTCTCAGAACGTATCTGAAGGAAATTTTCCCAAATTCAGACTGCCTTTTATTAGAATGATGTACTACTAAAGTAAGATAAACTACAGGAGTCACATCAATACAAGACACCTTCTAGCCATATGTCATACTTCAGAAAAAACATAAAAGTAAACTTGTGTTTACAGACTTGAAACACTTAAAATAGATCTACATGAAGACTTGAAAGGGATTAACTGAGTGGGGTAAGTTCAACATTACTTCTTTTTCTTCTACGTTATCTGAAGTATTATGTAAAAAGTCCTATTTCCAGTCACTGTAGTTAATTCAATTGCTGCACTGAAGCCTACACACAGATTCGAAGTGTTCTGATGATTTTGCAAGTGGAAAGGTAGGGTACAAGAGTAGCAATTTTAAAGTAATTAAAAATCAGAGGGCTGAATAGAGTTCTTTCAAATTAGATTGCTTTCAAGACTCAATAAGGCTAGGTTTGAAGTCTGAAAGCAAGCATTCAACTTCTCACTAAAACACTACTGTAGTCACCTGCCCTGAGCTTGAACCTGCCCGCAGTCCCTCTGGACTCTTGAATCACCGAAGTTCTGAAAACCACGGTGATAAAAATCAACACCTTCAGCAACTGGCTGAGCATTAAACGCTTTGTCCCGAATACAGAACTGGCCAGAGACTTCAGATCTGTAGTTTCTACTCTCAGCTACCATCAGTAACTAGAAACAAAGCAACGTGTCCTTTTGAGAACATTCTGAACTGGCACTATAAACAGGTCTTTGTTGCACAGAGCGACCTGTGCTAATGGTCAACAATCTCCTTGACTACAAAATACATTTTGAAATTCCTGCTCTGAGATGGATCTCACCACAGATTTATCTTTGTTGTTTAAGAAACTGTCTTCTTCAGAAGCCAATGGCTGTGTAACACAGTACCTCTCTCAACTGAGCAGGCCCAAGAGCACAACAGGCTGCTGCAAGCAGGCATGGACTCGACAGGTGACTTGCTCCTGCAAAAGGCAAGACCACTCACTACCTAACCTCACCAGCCCACCAAGAACACGCTTCCATCTCCCACAGTTCTTGTTCTTCCTTCAGTTTCCTGCCAAACTCTGTTACATACAAAAGCTCCCCAGGCTAGTTCTCTCGCACACTAGAAGGAGGGTACTCACGTTGTGACACTGGGGACTACATAAACTCCTTCATAAACAGACAATTTTATTGCCACAGATGGGAAAAGATTGCCTTTGGAGGCCCCTTAAGAAAAAGGGAAGAGCTGCTCCTGGCTGCATTGACATCCCTCCTTAATTTGACTATTACAGAGCATAAGAAGGCAAACCAAGATAATTTTATTATCACTAGATAGGTAGCAATTGCATATCAAGTGGTCGCCTATGCTAATTGAAGGCAGATGTTAAACACCAGTTCTGAAGGTTTCAGTGCGGCTGCTTTTGGTGAAAAAAACCTAGGCCTTTCTTACAGCAGTCTTCTCAGGCATACAAGCCCTACATTACCATTTGTGCTGCTTTTTAGATAAAATGCAATGCTGAATGTGAAGACCAAAGCCGCTTTTAATGTTTGCACAAACTAGACTCCTGAAAAAGTTACCAGAAAAAATAAAGCAGTCAGATACCAAGAAGTTAATTCTAGAGCAAAAAGTCTTTAGGAAGCTAACACCTTCCAGACTGAAGTGACACTGCAGGCAACAGTGTAACATAAGAGCTAACAAATTCTTTCTTTAAATGTCTTAGGAAGGCAAATTCAAATAATACAGACTTAAGTGTTGCAAGCTCATAAAACAAACTAATTACTAATTAATGCACTTGTCATTCAACAAGAGTCTTTTAATCATGGTTTCTAACACAGTGGTGCACTGCAAACAATCGCAGTGTCTCTGAAGCTGGGTTCTCCAGGTTCGTACACATCTCTGGTAACATCTGAACACCGTCCCCTGTGTACGTCTAGGGGGTGGTAAATGAGAACTTCCTCCCGTTTCGTGGAAGGGGGAGGTCAGGTGCGACACCAGCAAGTCACCCTTTTTAGCTGCTGTTTCTCGCCCTCACCCCCGTGAAGGCCACCTGAGCCACCCCTGGAGAAACCCTTCTGACCGCCAGGCGCCTCGCCGAGCGCAGCCAGCTGCGCAGCCGCA